GCCGGAAAAGGGGGAAAAAATGGCGGACAAAAAAAATGGCGGACAGCCTTGCTTGGCGACCCGCGTGAAATGGTTGATCGACCCCAAATGGGGTCCCGACCCACAGGTTGAGAACCACTGATCTATACGATGGGTAAGAAGAATACATAGTTGTGTCCATGAAGTCCTCAAAAGTTGGACTAGAGTTGAAGGAGCTTTACTTTGCTTCATTACTGCACTTTAAAATGAGTCAGGAGACCTAGTTTGCTGAAACAATTAAGATATTGGGCTAGAAACGGAGGCGGTGAGTTCTAGTCCTGCCTTGGATATTACACCAGCTGTCATGCCTCCATCCGAGCCTGACTCCGAGGAAGACATGGAGTTCCCTGTTGAGGCCCAGGAGGGGGTGTCTGTGGCTTGGGAGGACTGTGGGGAAGAGCAGGCTGAGGCAGGCCAGGGCCCTTCAGGTTTGGAACAGGGGAGGCAGAGTTCAGGCGAGGAGCAAGCCCCCACACACACACCTGATCCTAGAGCAAGGAGAGCAGAGAGGAGGAGAGAACAACGTAGGCAGGCTCAATTGCTCGGCAGGAGAGCGGCCCGCCCCACTCCACAAGGCACACCTAGGGATTAAGATTTAAGGAGACGTGGGATGGGGCATTTGCCGGGAACAAACGTGGGATCTTGAGATTGTTGTGACTTGTGCTCTTGTAACCTGGACACTTTGTATTCCGGACCAGTTTGTTTCCTGATTCATGACCACAGACTACTACATTCCTGATCTCTCCTTGCAGTCTGCAGTTCGCAGGCAAGCTGAGAGTTAAAAGGACTCTTTATGTTTTCTTGTTATCTGTCTTGCCTTGAGAACAGTGTAAACTTCCCTGGCTGTATTGTTTGAACGCGTGCCAGCATATGTGGGGGGCTTTTGGGTGAACATTGGCAGTGATTAAAAAGACTATTGCTCTGGCCAGCTGATTGCTTTGCCTCTGATTTGGGGTCCTGGGTCATCACACCAGCTCAGCCCTGGGAAGAAGAAGGCAGAGGCAAACCATTTCCCAAAATGCCTCCTTTCATTATTATTATTTTTTGATTGAGCCATCTCTTTACAGGTCAAACTCCTTTTGGAAAGTTTGACTTTAACTTCTTCTCTGGAAGTGAAACAGAGGACAAAAGTTGTGACTGGGATAGAGCATCCCTAATAAAATGCAAACATGCCTTTTCCTGATTGGGTCAGGAAAATAAGCTGAGCCTCAGCTGATAACTGGGGCAATTTCCTTATCTCCCTCTGCCAAATAGGTTACTGCAGGGCATTCACTTACCAGATTCCTGGACAGATTTTGCTGAGTTAACAGATTCCCCAATGACAACATCCAATCTAGCAAAAAGCTGGGAAGGTCATTGGTTAAGCAAACTCTTCGATAAGCAACTAAACTAAGTATATCTTTCATTGTGGCTAATTTGGAAGGGAAGTCTCTCATCTCTTACAGCCAAACTCTGCTATTACACTTTAATTCAGATTCAGCCTTGGCAAAAAATAAAAATAAAAATCTGTGAATATGAAGGATCTGGATCCATAGCAGACTCCCTCTTTTTTTAAAATACTCCCTCTGATTAATGATTATTTATTAGTAGGAGTTGTGATATCTTAATTGTCCGATCAAATTTATTACAGCCCTGAGGGCAGATACAAACAAAATATTTAATACAATAAATATTACATCCTTCTACATATCTGTATAACAGAAAAACAACTGCAGTAGAATTCTAAGAATAATTAAGAATAAAGATACTAAAATAAATCCAAATAAAATACTATTATATATACTATTATATATATACTAGCTGTACCCGGCCATGCGTTGCTGTGGCTCAGTCTGGTTAAATGGAAAAGAAAGAAAAGAGAAAGCGCACGTTTGTAATATGTTTAATTTCACAATGCTTGTGGGTATACAATATTTTTTGTTGTTCCATTGTCTGTGCAGATATAGAGATTGTCTGGTTTGCTGACTCTAGAACACGCAACATAATTGTCCTAATTTCACAATGCTTGTGGGTATACAATATTTTTTATTGTTCCATTGTGCAGATATAGAGATTGTCTGGTTTGCTGACTCTAGAACACGCAACATAATTGTCCAAGCATGTTTTTACCTGTCGCAGGTGTGACATCTATATAATAGTAGGTATATAAAAACACGCACATATTCGAATGCAACGTTGTGTCAAAATTTCAAAGCAATCGGTGAAGAACTTTCGGAGATTTAAGATTTTGAACAAAAGAACATTTACATTTTTATTTATATAGATTAACTTACAACCAGTGCTTTTTTTGTAAAAAAAAAAAAAAAAAGGTGCCGGAACTCACACACATCATACAACCCCGCATTGCCTACCCTACAAGGTTCCATCCAAAAAAAGTGCCGGAACTCCGTTGTGGGTGTTCTATGACAAAAAACAGCCCTGCTTACAACCATTTGTTTTGTGGCCGGAGTAACAACGAAAAAAATGACTTATGACCATGTCTCACATGGTGTGCAACTTCCCCATGGTCACATGATCAAAGTTCAGATGCTTGGCAACTGACATGTATTTATGGCAGTTGCAGTGTACCTGGGTCATGTGATCAGCTATTGGGACCATCCGATAAGCAAAGTCAATGCAGAAACCAGATTCATTTAACATTCGTGTTACTAATTTAACAACTGCATCAATTCACTTAACTGTGGCAAGAAAGATCATAAAATGGGACAGAACTCACTTAGCAACTGTCTTGCTTAGCAACGGAAATTTTGGGTTCAATTTTGATTACAAATAGAGGACCACCTGTAAGAAGTTCCAAACCTAAGTAATGGTATGGCATTTTGCACAAATGGTAGCACAAAACTAGGTGATTTAAGAGATTATTTTTGAGTCCTTTTCTGAAAAAAATACTTTTATTAGGTATTTTGTTTGTACCTGGCCTTCATGTCTGTATGTTGTCAAACCATATTTTTAGGGAGCTGTTGTTGCTTGAAGAATTAATCCATGTTGCTTTTTCATTATGTGTTTTTTTTTTTTAAAAAAATACTTCATAGTAGAGTATTTCAGTTTCATTTAAAGTATTACTTGGATTGATGTTTCCAACTAAAGAAACGAAGAATTTGTCAGTATATTGATAATATACGTAGATATTTCACCCAATACTAGTAAAAATTACAGATATACATTGCATTTTTTTTTAAACCAAAATACTATTGTTGTGGACGGGATTGCAAATTAATCCTGAGTTTCAAATGTGCTTGGTGATTCAAGAGTTGGGTCCCCTGATTTGAGGGAGAGAGTAAAAAGATATATTTTTGATTAGGTATTAAAACCAGCCAGATTTTGTAGTTTCTGTCAATAAATTAACTATCCTTATTTTTGGAAGTAGCATAATTGTCCATCTTATTAATATGAGCAATGCTCGAGTGTTGTTTAACACAGAGGTCCCCAACTTTTTGGGCACCAGGGACCGCTTCCATGTGGAGAGGTTTTTCTATGGACCGGAGGGTGTGTGGTTTTGTGTGCTGCTTGTATCCCACGGATGCGGATTTGCTTGTGTGGACCGATTGTTGGCATGCTGTGGCCCGGTACTGATCCACAGACCGGGGGTTGGGGACCCCTGGTTTAACACATAGAGGCAAGTCCAATTTGCCTATTGTTCAGAAGCAACGATAAAAAACCTAGGAAGGAAACAAACAGCCTCTCCTGCAGCCAATATTCAGAAATGCAGGAAAGAGCTCTTGATAAACTGGGAAGAAATCCCACTCCAGCAGACTGGCAGATGAACAATCAGCCAATTTCCCTCTCTCTGGCACCCATCATATTGTCTAGCCTGGTGACAAATTATATCCAGGAAGGCAACCAAGGTCAGTCAACTTTAGAAGCCAACAGCTTTGATCATAGTTTACAAGACAATACATATTTCTTTTAAAAATTAAATAAAGTCAGGCCTAGAAGATTATCTGTTCATGCCAACCTAGATTCCCTCATGTAGAGATTGGTTTTCTTTAGTTGAAAAGAAAGTGCGTCCTGTCCCACTTTGGGTACCTGCCATTAGCTGAGGCAGATCTGAAGATGCCAGATTTTCCAAGTGACGCTAAGCTGCCCCAGTAGGTTTGCTTCATTGTAGATAACTACAGATCCCCTCCAAAACTTGGGTATGCACAGTGCTGCCTTTCAGCAATCTTTGGCCAATTGGCAAGAGAAATATTTAGCAATAGAATCGTAATTTATCTTGCATCACATACAAACATCTTGGATGGATACTCCGTCAAGAAGGTGGCATTTCTCTCGAACAAGTTAAGCTCCCAACCCCCCCTTTTTTTGAACAGGTTTTATTAGTTTTTTTTAATTTTTACATCAAGGTGCTTAGGAAACAACGTGGTGATGGGGTAATCAATCATCCAAAAACAGAATCGTACATGTATAGCTCAGGTTAATTCCTTAGAGATTCCCTCTCTATTTCCCTCAATTAATATAACATATTCAAATTAATACATTTCTAAATAAAATTCAATCAATCAAAAGAGTTATCAATAACATTTCACCCCTTTGTTGAGCTCCAAATGGCACTGGGATCCTAGGTAGATTCACTTGGAACCACAGAGAGGAGGGCAGAGAGAAAAGTTACAAAAAAATGGAAATCAGGTAGGGAACCAGAACACAGAAATGAGTTGCAATTATATATATTTTCCTCCGGTTGAAACGAGACCAGTTTTCACTCGCTGATGTTTTAATTGGATAGAGAAAAACTGCAGCTCACTCAGCAGATGAATGACTTCTTGAAATAATTCAGATAAGAGTTTTCTCGCTGAGATTTTTATATGATTTCAGATGCCTGCATATGAAAGGATAAACATATTAATCTGGATGGTATTGATAAAATCAGGTGGTGTGATTTGTTAGCTTTGGAATATTTTACAACACGTTTTGGAGAAAACATGCATTTGGTAAGAAATACTTAAATCTGACATCTTGTCTCATGCTGGTTGTATATCTTTCAGCGCAAGCTTGTGCGGATGTTCTGGGTCTAGCTAAAGAAGCCAGGAAGCGGAATCTTGGTCCTCTTCATCCTTCCTTCAATGTGATGAAAATAATAAGAGATGGCCTCTACAAAAATCTCCCCGAAAACAGTTACAGATTGTTATCAGGGAAACTTTCAATTTCACTAACAAGAGTGTCTGATGGGGAAAACGTGTTAATATCCAATTTTAATTCTAAAGAAGAAGTTGTGCAGGTACGTTCTGTACTCTCACTATTATTTTTTTTACCATGTCATATTTACAAACATGGGGCTCACCAAAATACTCCTGTCCAGGGGTGGGATTCAAATATGTGAACAACTGGTTCTCTGTGTGGATGCCGCTTCCGGAAGTCCATTCTGGGCCTGGGCAACAAAAAATTAGCTACCGGTTCTGCCGAAGTGCTACGAACCGGCTGAATCCTGTCCCTGCTCCTGTCCACTGCTCCTGTCCCTACGATTCTGATAATTTGAAAGACTTCCCTACAGGAATTTGATTTGGGACCTGCAATGTTATAAGATCCCCCACCCCGCAGTTAGAAATAATTATAGCTAATCTTTATTTTTTTTAAATCTTTGAATAGGCCCTGCTTTGTAGCTCATTTGTACCTATATATTGTGGGCTCATTCCACCTTCATTTAGAGGAGTGGTAAGTATAGTTTATTGGTTATAAATCAGGTTGGGATTTATTGAGATAAACTGAGCTGAGACTTGCTGTAATTTGATGGGGCAGCACTTTCCTCTTCAGAGTTAAAATGTGGTAACTTAGAGGTTGGCTCATTTCCTTTTGTCTAAACATGGTTGAATTAAGTCAGCTTCATCAGCTGGGGGGGAAGGAAAAATCTTGTGGAGGAAATAACTGCTCTTATTTACAGTTGTGGGAAGAAGTGAAAGAAAGTGCAGCAGTGAGAGAGATCTGCGAAAATATTTGACTTTTTTAAATCAGCATATTGAATGCCATGATCATTTGATTTAAAACTAGATTCTGTTACGTGATCAGCAGTACAGGTAGTCCTCGACTTACGATAGCTTGTTTAGTAACCGTTCAAAATTACAACCGCACTGAAAAAAGTAACTTAATGACCGTTTTTCACACTTAACAACTGTTGCAATATCCCCACGGTGATGTCGTTTACATTCGTAGGCTTGACAACTGGTTCACATTTATGACAATTGCCGTGTCCTGGGGTCACACGATTTTCTTTTGCAAACGTCTGACGAGCAAAGTCAGCAGGGAAGCCAGTCTCACTGAACAACCGTATTACTTAACAGTTGCGGTGATTCACTTAACAACCGTGGCGAGAAAAGTCGTAAAATGGGGTAAAGTTCACTTAACAAATGTCTCAAGAGAAGAGAAGGACGAGGGGGGACATAATAGCAGTGTTCCAATATCTCAGGGGCTGCCACAAAGAAGAGGGAGTCAAGCTATTCTCCAAAGCACCTGAAGGCAGGACAAGAAGCAACGATGGAAACTAATCAAGGAGAGAAGCAACCTAGAACTAAGGAGAAACTTCCTGACAGTTAGAACAATTAACCAGTGGAACCACCTGCCTCCAGAAGCGGTGAATGCTCCAACACTGGAAGTTTTTAAGAAGAGACTGGACAGCCATTTGTCCGAAATGGTATAGGGTTTCCTGCCAGAGCAGGGGGTTGGACTAGATGACCTTCAAGGTCCCTTCCAACTTTATTATTATTATTATTATTATTATTATTATTATTATTATTACTTAGCTACAGAAATGTTGGGCTCAGTTGTGGTCGTAAGTCAAGGACTACCTGTACGTTGTCTCAAAGGTATAATAATGCTTTTTCAAGTGCCTCTCTTTCCCTCAGGATTTTTGGAGGGAATTTGGATGCTGCCCCTTCTTTAAAGAACAATAGCGTATATCAAAATGGGGAACCATGCTGCGCATCTTCATCAATTATGGTCTGAGTGGGCTAAAATATTTGATTTTATGGTCCCGAGCCACTCTTATATCTTGCATTGTTCACTGTTCTTACTACCTAAGGCGGGGGGAGGCAACCTTGGCTCTTTTATGACTCGTGGACTTCAACTCCCAGAATTCCTGAGCCAGCCATGCTGAGGGGAAAGGGAGAATTTCCAAGCTGAGCCATGCTGGCTCAGGAATTCTGGGAGTTGAAGTCCACGAGTCATAAAAGAGCCAAGGTTGCCTACCCCTAACCTAAGGCTTGTATCATGTTTTATCTCGGGTGTAGGAGGTAAGATGGTAGGCAGGTACATTGATATGTGAGTTCATTGTGCTTCTGGTTAGTATGTACTCATTGCAAGATTCTAGAGTTAAATGCTAGATTTGTGCAGGGCACAAATACAGTTATTTTTTGGAAAAGGAACTGTTGAAAACTGACCTGCATAACAGTAAAGGATCCTCTCTTGAAGATTAATGCTAATGATTAATCTTCTTACCTTAAAGTCCTCCCTTGTGCAGTGTCTTTCAAGGCCAGGCATGGAAGTTAAAGAGTATCCGTATCTTGGCTATAAAGGAACTATGTCAGTATTAATAATTACTTGTATAGTTGTTATTTTTCTGCTTTAGTAACAAGAAAGGTAAACTGACCCAAGTGTTTTCGAGCAGACAACAGCTAGATCAGCTTGTGTATGACAGCTTTATTTTCATGCAATTTTTCTTACAAATACTTCAGCGTGGTTTGATGATTCAAATACCATTTTGGGGGGAGGGGAAATCTGCTGGTCCATATTTTTTCAGTGTATCTATTTAGATAGATTTTCTTATTTTACTTCACTGGACCAACATCTAAAAGCGTTTAGCAAAGTGAGAAATATAATAATACACGCTTCTTGATTTTCTAAACGCACTTTCGTTTCTCTACTGTCATTGAGTAAAAAAACCTCTATATGGTTTCCAGTTCCAATTCTTGTTACAAAAACGCCATGAGTTGTTTTTACCTAAATGGGCAGCTGAATAAATAAACAAGTAAATAAATATGATTAGAAGACAAACATTTTACTGCGGTGGAGTGTGAAAGATGGAGTAGAGGGCTGAGGTCATACACTCTGGCAGCTTTCCCAATTTGGAGATATTCACATTCCTACGAATCCTAATAATTCATTTCTAACATTTAGTACAGCGGTTCTCAACCTATGGGTCGCGACCCCATTTGGGGTCGATAGACCATTTCACCGGGGTTGCCAAGCAAGGCTGTCCGCCATTTTTTTTGTCCATTTTTTTTGTCCGCCATTTTTTTCCCCTTTTCTGGCGGGTGCCTTACCTCCCTTGGGCTGGGCCAGCTGGTGGTCGGCCTGCTCTGTCTCTGCTGCTTGCCAGCTACGCCTCGGCCGGCGCAGGGGGCGGAACCACGCATGTGCAGCGCTCCCAGGCAGGGGAGGTCCTCGACTTACAACCGGTTGGGTAGTCCTCGACTTACGACCGGTTTAGTCCTCAACTTACGACCGGTTTAGTCCTCAACTTACGACCAGTTTAGTCCTTGACTTACAACCGGTTGGGGGTCGCGGCATTAAAAAGGTTGAGAACCACTGATTTAGTAAGTGTTTTCTAACAGCTTAAGTTTATTTTGCATGAATTAAATACGATGATTTTGTGCTTAAGCAAGTACAGCATTTCACGTTTCTCCTCTTCCTCTCTTCTTTAAAGCGCTATGTGGATGGTGGATTAAGCGACAATTTACCTCACCATAATTCGAAGAGCACCATAACGATTTCTCCTTTCTCTGGGGAATGTGACATTTGTCCCAGGGGGAACTCTGCAAACTTCCATGAGATGAATCTAACCAACACAAGCATTCAGTTTAGCTTAGGAAATACGTATCGTTTAATGCAAGCACTTTTTCCTCCAGAGCCCCAGGTATGGTATATGTTCAACAATGCCTATTATGGGATCCTTCTTTTTATTGATGTGGATAGTTATCTGTATAACTTTTGAGAAAATGATGTATTTCCCAAACAACACAAAGAGAAGAATATTACGGGATTTTAATTAACGTTCCGTAATCTGTGACCCTAACCATTGGCCAAGCTGGTTGGCCCAAATGGAATTTGCAGGGTAGAAAAATTCGATAGCTCTCTCTATGTTAGGAAACAGGGCTGATGCTGTTAAATTTATAAAAGAGCATGTTTTTCAGTACATTGTACCATCTTTTTAGGCTGATGCAGCAATTATTGAAAATAGCCAGTTGGGGTGCAGTGATGAGCCCCAGCTGGAAACCAGGAGATTGTGAGTTCTAGTCCTGCTTTGGGCATGAAAACAGCTGGTTGTTTTTGAGCCAGTCTCTCTTGCTCAGCTTTAGAAAAGAAGAGGCAAAGGCAAGCCACTTCCGAAATCTGCAGGTACTAGTCCAGGAAGCTGCCAGGAATGACCAATTCAAACGTACACACACACACACACACACACAGGTTATTGAACTGTTGTGTCATATTTGGAAGTTCATAGATAGCGTAAGGTTATCTGTGGTTTAGCAAAAGTAGATAATTTGTTTTGCAAAGAGTTGTTTTCTCTTCTGCTTCCTTGTGCCTAATTGAAAAAAAAAATCTGATCTTTAACTGTCCAGTATTTTAAATTTAAAAAAAAATACTGTAAAGATGGGGGCGTATGCATCTGTATGCCCACATATATCTGCCCATGTTTGTATAAAGATGTGTGTGCTCATAGACAGTCTGATTAATTCCTATAGGGATGTAATTTAAAGCTATTGAAAAAGAGCCACTGAACACATTTTGATATCTGTGAGAAGCTGGTCTTAATGGGGTGAATAATCTCACCTTTTGTTAATTATGTAAATGCCGAATGGAACGACATTATGAGATTGAGTACACCTTTTTCCCATTCCCAATGACTGCAAAGAAAGGAAAGGAAAGTAAGAGAAAGAAAGAAAGAAAGAAAGAAAGAAAGAAAGAAAGAAAGAAAGAAAGAAAGAAGAAAGAAAAGAAATTTCATGACTAAGTTCTGGGGAGATGATCTCTGGAATCATTTCTGTTATGACAGTCTCCCTATCAGGAATCCAAGGTTGTATCCCAGAAACTTTGAGGGCTTGTCATGCCCATTGTGCTGGAAAATAAGGAATTAGTAATGTATGTCATTTGTGTGGTTATATCACACATCATCAGAGGTCATCATGGATGCCACTCTGCCATCGTTACTGGCAGAGCTATACCTGAACTGTAAAAAAAAAGGACAGTCAGGTGGATGCACTAAATTGGTGTTTTTCCATTCTAGCTGTTGGGGAATTGTGGAAGTTTAATTCCACACACCTCAAAATTGCTAAGATTGACAACCATTGCACTAAATGATTAAAATGTGGAGAACTTTGAGGCCAAATTGGACGCACCAATATGTGAAATATTATTCTACTATATTGAATTGATTAGTTGGCTTTCCTTTCTTACGACATGTGAGAGAAGTTGTTTTTTATGTCTGTCTTTTTAGCCTTCTCAGTTTCGTGGGCATCATGTTTCAAATTTCTTTTTCTGGATTCTGAAAGTACTCTATGGCAGGGGTCCTTAACCTTAGTAACTTTAAGACTTGTGGACTGGCTGAGGAATTCTGGGAGTTGAAGTCCACAAGTCTTAAAAGTTGCCAAGGTTGGAGACCCCTGCTCTATGCTTCAGCTGGTATCATGGGTTATTCTCAGGAATATAGGAATAATCTTGGAGAAATCATCTACTTAGCAAGACTGCATTGTTAATTGTACTTGGCTCATGGTGCTGTTTTTCCTCCCCCCACCCCCATGTTGCACAATGCCCTGTTGTATGGCCAAAAAGGAAAGCCACTTAATATTGTGCAGGGAGACAATTTAGGGAGATTAGGAATATCTTCATATAGTCTTTCCTCAAGAATGTATTCATTTAATACCAGGCTGTAAGTGGAAGTAAATTAGTTCTGAACAGTTTGCTTTATTTGTCCACAAGCAAGACGTTAACATTTTCTCCATGAATATAAGTGTCATGAAGTATGGAAAATGTTCTTTCCGCCAGTTTTAAAACTTACTTAACTAGTTTTCTGTAAATTTCTTTTCAGTTGCTAGCTGAACTCTGTGAACAAGGATATTCAGATGCTCTTAGATTTTTGAAAAACAACGGTAGGTTATTGTTTTCAAGCATTTTCAGGCAAGCATTTGAAATTACAACGGCACCCAAAAAAAGTGACATGACTATTCCTCATATTTATAACTGTTGCAGTATTCCCCACTGCCAGGCGGTCAGATTTTGGGTGCTTGGCAACTGGTGTGTAATTATCATGGTTGCAGCCTTCTGGGATTATGTGGTCACCCTTTGTAACCTTCCCAGCTAGCTTCCGACAAAGTCAGCAAGTCAACGGGGGAAGCTGGATTTGCTGAACGGCTGCAGGATTCACTTAATAACTGCAGTGATTCATTTGACAAGTGTGGCAAAAATGGTTGTAAAATTATTTACTTCACAATTGTTTTGCTTGGCAATGCAAATTCTGCTTCCAACTGTAGTTGTTAGTCGAAGATTTGCCTGCATTTGATTTGACAGATTTGCCATTGAATGTTTGCTGTTGGAAGTAGCTTTGTGATTTGCTTCCTGAGATACTTTTATCCAATGAATGTTGGCATTTTAAGCAACCCAAGCCTTGCCAAAAAGATATGCTATAGGCGTGCTATAAAACTAAATGATTGCTAATTCATTGCTGTTTGCTGGCAAGAATGTCTCAGCTTTAAAAGTTGGAAGAAGCTGGTAGAAGTTACAACACAATAGCAAACAGACATAACATTTTTAGTTCAAGATTTAGAAAACCTTTGTGGTTTTTTTTTTAAGTGTCTGCATTTTATCTAACTTGCTTTGCATGCTGTCACTCATAGCAGAAACATTTGTTTTTTAATCTATTTATTAAGGTTTTCTGCAAGAATCAGTTTCTACCGACTTAGCCTTAACCAAGGAGGAATATCTAGGATATGCACAAATTTCAGGCTACAGTGATAAAAAAAATGCAGCAAATAAAGATAAAAAAGAGATGCAAGAAAAAAAAATATTTATTGATCAGCTAAGGGCAACATCTTGGCCATTGGATAGGACTATCTTTGAGAAGCTGCCTCCCAGACTTCAAAAAGGTAAAATTCTAAATTAACTGTTTTAATTGCAAAAAATTATCTTTAGTATCTTCGGCACTAGTAAGTAGAGACCAGAAAGAATGTGTGATTTTTTTCCCCAATTTGTATTGAAGCATTTTATTTGACTATCTAAACAAGAACAGAAAAATTTGGCAATTACCTTTAGCTGGCCAAAACTATAAGCAGGCCAGTAATGGAGCTACTTTGAGGTTTCATGAATTAATTTACTTTGAAAAGTTTTGTTTCAGAATTTACACTGCTGAACGTCATTCATTTTGCACTGGTGAAATTTGGTTGCTGAATGTTCCAGAAAAGGGGTGCATAATCAAACATACTAGAAATAAATTAGATTAACCATCCTCTTTATACTGTTTGTGATGTTTATCATATAGATATTATGAGAAGACAAGTTGATTTTAAGTTAATTTTGGCTGGAAATATTAGACGATTTAGTTGTGCAGAGTGTTTGTCAAGCCTCGGACATCCCAAATTGGCTTCCTTTTCCAAATTAAAGCAAAGTGTTTTATTTTATTTATTTATTTTTTGGGTATCAAAGAATGCTTTTTTCCATGAATCCATTTTAGTTAGAGGTTAGACAAGCCGAGGTAACCCAATGTCTTTGTTTAATTCACAATGCTAGAATGATCCAGAGTCTCATGACTCGGGGAATTAGTGGTTATTGATTCCCAGTGAGAGAGGACTAAAATGAATTGAAAGTTGTATAAAGCAAAATGTAATTTGATGATAACCTGATTAGAATACTAGAGGGCCCTACTCAGTCATTTCTGGTGAGAAAAAAATTGATTATGTCCTACCCATATTTGTTCTTGCTTGATCGTCCATGAATGAATTCAATTCTGATGGTCTAAATTCTACAGCATTACAAGAGGCTTGTAAAGAAAAAAGTGGACTCTATACCCAGCTTTCAAAATTTCTTCCCATGCGACTAATGTCCTATATGATGCTGCCATACACTTTACCAGTTGAGTCAGCCTTCTTTGTGGTCTTAAGGTAAGTGTATATGATCTAATTTCCAAATGTTCAAGATATCTGGACATTTTTCATTAAGTTTACATCTTATTCTTCCAAAAGCTCTTCCTTATTCCTTCTGAGGCCATTTTTCTTACAGGCTAGACTTGGGTATATTTATTTATCTATTTGCTAGATTTATACCCCATCTTTATTTTATGGAACTGCAGGCAGTGTACATAGCGCTCTGCCTTCCTATTTTTCCCCATAACAACAAACCTGTAGGGTGGACGAGGCTGATAAACCTGGTTTCTTGCCTAGGTTTGAAGATGAGAACTCATTGTCTCCTCGTTTCTAGTCCAACATCTTACAAACTGGTTCTCTATATGTTGCAAATAAATTATGTTCTTGAGCTAGAGCAGGCATGTCAAACACGCGGCCCACGGGCCTCATCCGGCCCGCACAGGCCAAGCCCACCCCAGCCCTGTAAGGGCAAAACAAGTCCCGATACGTCACAATACGATTGGGTTTGACACCTCTGAGCTAGAGGAAAGTTGCTCATAGCTTGTATGTAGTGTAAAACCTACTTAGGAGTAAGCCCATTGAGCTCAAAGGACTTACAATAAGAAAACTTGCCATTTTGTGAGTTCGTGGCTGAGATTAGTTTGGCCTGTTTGGTTGCATTACACTGCCTTAACTCCTGTTTATACTTACACTCCTGTGTATACAGTTTATACTTAAAAGGAGAATCACAAGTATGTTTATTTTCCCGAGTTTTTTTGTGTTCAGTTTCATAAACCAGCATGTTATGTGTATACTTTTTAAAAAATTCCAAACCTATGTTTTAGTTACAGCTTTAATATCTAAGTCCATTACGTGCACCTGGCAAGAATGCACCTATGAAAATATTACGCTTTTTTTTAATTTTTACTTTTAAAATAGAATTCAGTACTTTAAAATACTTTTACTTTTAATATAGAATTTAAAAAAAATATTTATTTCTCTTATAAAAATTTAGCTCAGTGATGGCAAACCTTTTGGAGACTGAGTGCCCAAACCCCAACCCAAAACCCACTTATTTATCACAAAGTGCCAGGGCCGCATCAGCATTGTGGTGCCCTTGGGGGGGGGCAGGGAGGCACCTCTGAGTGCCGCCTCTGGCATGCAAAAACTGGGGACGCAAAAATGGGCCACCGTGCTGCAAGGCGCAAAAACGGCCGTTGTTGCGCCGCAGGATGCAAATACAAGGCGCTGGCTGCACCACGCAAGAATGGGGCAGGGCTAGTGAGTATCATGCAGGCACTAGCTCCGCCCCATTTGCAGCACGTGCGTGCTCGCGGCCCCGTGCGCACATGCATGCATGTAAAATGCTTCCCCCTCCCTTCCAGTCCATCACACGACAATGGTTGGTGACCTCTGCTCTACCACCTCTACTCAAGCTTGCTAGTCGGCCGCTCTGCCTCCTTTGTGCTAGGCGGGGCTCCTGCTCTCGGCGATGGTGGCGGCCTGATGGACCTGCTGCTGACAGCGGTGGTGCACGGGCCAACAGAGAGGGCTCTGAGTGCCGCCTCTGGCACGCATGCCATAGGTTCACCACCACTGATTTAGCTGATACCAGGAAAGGTGATGTTGGGTGAAATTTTTAAAAACAAGCACCCATTCTGAACACGTTTGTTTTGAAGGGCCACCTTCTTTCTCTCGATTGCAGATTAGTCCAGTGGTTTCCTGACATCCCTGAGGACGTGCGATGGATGCAGGGGCAGCTTTTCCAAACGATGGGTTCAGTCTATGGCCGAGCAATGAAGGGGCTTCTGAAGACCCCAAGGTATGTTTTACCCCTTCTTTTCAAGGGGCAGAGATCAAAGCTGGGGACTGGAGGCTAAAACATATAAGGAACGGTTGCTGGAATTGGGTATGTTTAGTTTAACGAAGAGAAGGACGAGGGGGGACATGATAGCCGTGTTCCAATATCTCAGGGGCTGCCACAAAGAAGAGGGAGTCAAGCTATTCTCCAAAGCACCTGAAGGCAGGACAAGAAGCAACGGGTGGAAATTAACCAAAGAAACCTGGAACTAAGGAGAAACATCCTGACAGTTAGAACAATTAACCAGTGGAACAACCTGCCTCCAGAAGCAGTGAATGCTCCAACACTGGAAGTTTTTAAGAAGAGACTGGACAGCCATTTGTCTGAAATGGTATAGGGTTTCCTGTCTGAGCAGGGGGTTGGACTCGATGACCTCCAAGGTCCCTTCCAACTTTATTATTATTATTATTATTATTATTATTATTATTATTAAAGCACCCAAAGAGCTACTTACATCTTTAAAATTGCTTGTATTTAATTGACTCCAAGCGTAATTCACTCTCAAGAAGCTCTGAATCCAGAGTGATCATGAAGGAAGCAAATCTTGCAGGCCCCAGAGAGTGGGGATGGTTTGGGAAGCCTGAAAGAGCAATCCTGCTGTCTCTTGGAAGCAGGGCCTAAGGAATTCCTCTTACTTTCTCCCACCTCTGTTCTTTGACTGACAGCCATGGCCAGTTGCAACATTAGAGTGTTTTCTTCTGCATTGTAGTTAATGTGCCACATACTGTAAAAAGCAGAATTTTCATGCGTGCATTTTTTTCCTAACAATTTCAATAATAATAACGTGATAGTCAGTGTACTGAAAAGGTTATTAACTACTGTTTACTAACTTTTAAAAATTAGAGAAACTTTTTGAATTTCTGAAAAAAAAAACCCCATTGCATGCCTGTTATATTTCAATGTAACCATTTGTCTTGAATGGCATAGGGCAGTGGTGGCGAACCTATGGCACGAGTGCCAGAGGCGGCACTCGGAGCCCTCTCTGTGGGCACACGTGCTGTCGTCCCAGCCCCGCCTTCCCCCACGGCCCCCTCCACACCAGCAGCCGCCCCGGAGGAGAGTCGCCCCCAGGCACGGCCCGCCTGGAGCAGCACAGCCAAGGACATGGCAGCCGGGCAGTGGGGACAAGACTCCGCCCTTGCACCCCGTCGCAAAGAGATGATGCTGTGGGGCATGGGTGGAGGGCATGGCCGCCATGGTGCTACTGGGCCGCCTGGGCGATCTGCGGCGGGCCGTGGAGGTGGCGGGTGGCCCTGTGGGTGGGTGGGGGCGGGGCAGGGATGGAGCAGGGGTGGGGCGGTGTGGGGGTGGGGCAGTTTTTGGGCACTCGGTGTCTAAAAGGTTCGCCATCACTGGCAAAGAGTCTCCTGCTTGAGCAGAGGGTTGGATTAGAAGGCCTCCAAGGTCCCTCCCAACTCTCTTATTCTGTTACTTCTCCCGTAAAAATAATTCCAAGACTTGCTAATGGCTATTTCTTGTTGTCCTTGCAGCAAAGTAAGTGAAATCTTGCTTAGAAAATGCCAGACGGCCCCAGGGGAGCCTTGCCATCATCTGTCCTACTCATCTCCTAAAGCGTCTCGCTCTTCCCCCAATCTTGAAGAATGGCTCTGGGGTCTCCCCTATTGCGAAGACTTGGCGAAGGAGAAGGGTGCAGTTGGTCATTCCGAAATCTCTGGGTCCATCGCTTCCTTTTTCATGGACACTGAAACCTCTGGAGTATCTACGGATGTTGACTCTTCTTCCGAGAAAAGCTTTTACTCTGTCCCTGAAGACTAGCTTGGGGGGCTGTGACATTCAGCCGGGCAATCTCCATCTCTCCATCTTGGTGATACGCGTTCTTCTAGCACTTTGCCAAACCATCTTTAGGATACTGCTTCTCAGTCTGAGCAACTTTTAAGGTGCTAAGTTGAAGTGGGCTTCAACTGAACACGCTGCACCCAAATTCTGGGAGTTGAAGTCCACCTGTCTTAAGGTTGCTGAGGTTGGGATGACTCTTGTTTACAACTCACTTGCCCTTGAGGCATCTTTTCTGACTTCAAGGCCTCTAGTTTCTCGATAGTGGATAAAGAGTTGAAAAGGCCTAAGAGCGGGTAGAGCGTTTTCGTACCCAAACAAAAAAAAATTCAGCAGGAAGACAATCTACATCTCCTCAGTTGATGGTTTTATATTGGGGTAAGCATTTGTAGGACAATGTTAACTTTTTTTTGTTAAAAAAAAAAATAATTTTTACAGTAAGATCTGTAGCTCTTGTGTGACTTTTTTAAAGGGTTTTTTCCCCCGCACTTGTGTGGAATTACACATCTCCGACTTAAAGAGCTAAGTAACTTTGACGAGTTCCTTTTTTACTTGACGTATCTGGCAGAGAGATCTCATGCAAAATGAAGCAAACACTCCCTGCCTTCCACAGGTAGGCAGACTGGGAGCAGAAAGGAACAATGTTTGATACCCTTATTTTTTTAAACAGGAAAAACTATATTTCATTAAAATGTATTGTTTATGTTGTTGTTATTATAGGGCAGGGGTAGGCCACCTTGGCTCTTTTATGACTCGTGGACTTCAACTCCCAGAATTCCTCAACCAGCATGGCTCAGCTTGGAAACCTCTCCCTTTCCCCTCAGTATGGCTGGCTCAGGAATTCTGGGAATTGAAGTCCACGAATCATAAAAGAGCCAAGGTTGCCTACTCCAGTTATAGGGCATGTTGGAAACAGGGCCTGTTGGAGAATTTCTGGATGTCCCAATTTCTCCTCTTTTTGTTGGACTTTTCCTGAAATTAATCTCCAGAGCACTAGTTGGGGTAGAATGGATCTCATATGACTTCTTCTTTTTATTTGAAACTCCTTGACTGCCACAAGGAAAAACACAAGGATTTTGTAATCCTTGGGGTGCTCTCCAAAATCTCATAAGAACACACCCACATACACACACTCTTTTACTGCCAGAGAGGCTTCCATCTGCTATTCAGGTATTCCATCTGAAGACCCCACCCTAAGCTGGAAGCCTCCAAAAGTATAGACTTCATTTCTCAGAATTCCCAAGCAGCCTGACCTTTACTGAGAATTCTGGGAGTTGAAGTCCACCCATTTATGAATATCCTAGAGCAGGCTTTAGGCAACTTTAAGATACGTGGACTGGGGGATTCTGGCAGTTGACATCCACGCATCTTAAAATTGTCAGAGTTGAGAAACACTGCTCTAGAATGCCGTGTCTAAACCAGCATATTATTTTCCATGTGTAATGTAGACTTTACATGTAGATATCCTTGAAGCTAAATTTAATTCCAATGAATAAGATGAATCATAAAAATTAATTCATTGGTGGAAGAGAGATGCAGGGTTTTGTTTTTTTTACATGACTGGTGAGCTTGAGAGCAGATGTCATTAGGAAATATATTGTCCAGTTTCCTTAACAGGAGAAAATAATAGAGATCTATAATGTGATTTGGAATTTGTGGATCTTAAAATTTTCCCCCTTGCTCTTCATTTTAACTAGATTAACCTCGGAGCAAGAAATCCATATAATTTCCCTTTTCTTCCTTTTAAATTTAAATTATAAATAAAATCCATACATTATTTATTCCAGATTTTATGAACACACATACGATATTGTGCCAAGTTGTTATAACTTAAGCCTTAATTTGCAATAACAGTAGGACAATAATATGACATCAGTCAGCCATATTTCAAATGGATTCAATAACTTCTGTGGAATACAGTTCCTGACACTTTGTGTCTCAGTATTTGCTGCTTAAAGTGACAGGAATTCTTATATATATAGTACAAATACTAAAGTTGTATTTTTGGAAATCAGACTTTTGCTATCAGTAGCTTACCAGCTCTGCACTGTGGCACTGCAGTGGGTTAAAGTATCTCTAATGGCAATCCCTTATTAGAATATTTTCTTGTTAGGTATTATAAATTTTCCAATCAAAGGGTTAGGGTTAAATTGGAGACTTGTTACAAATTAAGTGGAGAATAATATCCCCATAGGAATCCAACTAGCTGCTTTTATTTATTTCAAATTGTCAACTTTTTACCAGTTTTTTCCTATTTGGCATTTTAAAGAAAATCTAAGAAATGCTGAGTGGAGAGGAAGGGAATAAAATGTAGTTAAAACAGTTTTTCACAACGTTAAATGTTTAATAGCATGGACACAGACTTATTTATATTCTTTTGGTGCTATTTTCAACTAGTGCCAAAGTACTGTTTTGTATGACAACTGATCATACTTATTTTCCTAAGCCTTCATTGTATTTCCAAAATGAACTGTTTGTAATATTTCTGCAATCAGCAGTGTTTTTAAAGAACAGAATAAAGAGATGTTGTGTTTGGTGATCGCTGTTTTGTTCATTATCACTAGTCAAATGCTTAATTGCTTAATAGAACCACTTTATGATGTGATCTATGAATATACTGCACTTCTATACCATTTTATTTGTTCATAATGCTGTAAGTTGACATTTCACTCATCGCCCAAAGCAGTAAACATTGTGTTCCTATGAGTATTTTTTGCAAATGGTAAAGTATTCATTTCTATAATTCCTCTAAAGTCTTCCCTTTTTTCACAGTGATTTAACAAAGCTTATTGCAAACAACGGTCTATGGAATTTGATCCTTTTTATAAAAATTCAAATGACTGGAAAGCATAAAACCCATGCAGAGCATTTGGCTTTGTTTTAACATTTTATGAATCATATTCTGAGATTGGGGGTGGATCAAGTCCTTGAACAGAGACATTTCAGTGGGGTTTTTAAACAGAATGTAAAATCCGTGTGTATATACACAAAAGGATTATAGCTCTCCTTCAGTAATTATCTGGGTTCAGAGTTCTTTCTAAATTTGCCAAAAATTATTTACTTTTTAAAGCGTTGAAAAGAAAATGCAGGCCGTTGCAAACGGAACACAGAACACTTAAAAATGAATTTACAGCCAACAGAACATTCTGAAGAGATAATGGTTTAGAGCAAAATTGTTTAGCTGCAGTGTGTAGTAAACACAAAAGAATGGCCTTATTGTACATAGATTACCTTCAATGAAATAAGTAACACTATTTAGAGATGCTATGACTTGGGAATAAAGCATTCCAGATTTCTGATGATCTTGGCTTCCAATAATTCAGCAAAGTTGAAATTGTAATGGTAAAAGTGTTCAGGAAATTCAACGACTCAAGTTAGACTTGAGAACCTGAAATTATGGTCCTGAGAGAACAATTCCATTCTGTGACCAAGAAAACATGCAGGGATGTATCCATGAAATCACCAGAAGCCAAACTCAACTTGGAAAAGGCTTTATTAGTGTGAAAGTGAAGTGTGAGCATCATATCAACCACAAACCCTTTAAATATAATTTTTGAATTGATAGTATGTATGACTCCAGAAGGTTTTGGAACCTTATCATAAATAATACTCTAAAAAGCTTAAGAGGAAAAAAAATACAAAAAATAAAAATAAAAAATAGGAACACATAACCCAAAAGGAATATAAGTAGTCTTCAGAAACTATAAAAGTACTTTCAAAAACGGCTGATGTTCAGAACAGACTGAAACTTGAGCCATTACAAAAACAAAAGTTACTTTTGATAAGTTAGAAATAAAAGAAAAGCCGAAGAATAAATAGGTCTGTCATGAGAAATAATCAAGGTGAAAAGGCAGAATTTCAAATCTCAGAAGGGAAGGAGAGTGGTGATCCTTATGGAGATGAGGAAAGAAGGAAACTGAAATTTACGATATACACAAGGGGAGGCTAAGAGAAAACTTGGCTAATTTAAATGAATTCAAGTCCCCAGGACCAGATGGTTGATTTCTCAAGAGTCCTAAAGATTCTCCTGTTCAGCATGTTTTCGGTGAGCTGGATGAGGGAGATGAGGGAGCATATAAAAAGTCGACAGATGACACCAAGCTGGGATAGATGGCCTTTCAGGTGATAGAAAGAAGACTCAAAAAGGTCTAGGAAGGTTTGAGCTGATGGCCAAAATAACTAAGATGACATTTAATAGAGAGAAATGGACGGTTTTGCAGCTGGGCAGGAAAAAGGTAAGAAACCAGGATAGGATGTGGAAGACTTGGCTTAGCAGTAGCACATCTAAAGGGGACCATTAAAAATGCCAATGCTATCTTGGGCTGGTTTAATAGGAGCATATCTCCGAGACCGCCTTCTGCCGCAGATCCCCTCCCTCAGACCGGTACGCTCCCACAGAGTGGGCCTCCTCAGGGTGCCGTCGGCCAAGCAATGTCGGCTGGCGACCCCCAGGGGGAGGGCCTTCTCTGTGGGTGCCCCTACCCTCTGGAACGAACTACCCCCCGAGATCCGGATGATTCCGGATCTTCTTGCTTNGACCTAGGGAGGATTTTATTTGGGGTTTATCTTTTAACAATTTGACAGAGACACAACTTTAAAATTTGATTTAATTCGGTTTTATCGGGGGGGAATGTATTTATGTTTTGTTTTAAATATGTTGTGCGCCGCCCTGAGTCCCGTTGGGAGAAGGGCGGCATATAAATTAAATTTATTATTATTATTATTATTATTATAAAGGTCAGACTCTGGGAGCTAATCCATTCTGCCTTGGTTGGATCCCGCCAGGAATTGTGACGGGCACCAGAGTCAAAAATAACAATAATAAATTGGAATATGTTTTAAGAAAGGCAAACAAGATAGTGCAGGGTGAGAAAACTGAGCCCTCCAAAGAATGGTGAATGGATTTGGGTATGTTAAGCCTTCAAAATAGATGGTTAGGGGTGATAGGTTATCCATTCACTCTTCTCCCAGCGAGAGGAGCA